CCTTGAGCTCCCTTTGTAGCCCAGGCTGGCCTCGAACTCGCAAGGATCCTCCTGTCTCAGCCTCCTGAATGCTGGGATTACAGGTGTGGGCCACCACACCCGGCTATGTTCCCACTTTAAATAAAAGGCAGCCCATGGAGAGTTGGAGAAGATTTGGGATGTAACCCACCCTGGAAGAAGCAATGGGCACACAGGGTTTGGGGCTGGAGGTCCCATTCCCGGCTGAGGGGCCGGCTCCAGTGTACCCTCTCCTTGCAAAAGCCCAGTGGCCTTGTTGTCAAATACCGCAGCCACTTGTGCAGTGTGCGTCAGCTGTGTGGGCCCGTGGGCCCAGGTTCCAACACGCTGGGAAAAACAACAGACGCCCCACATTTACGAGATGGCTGGAGCAGGACAGGACACGTGGTGACATGAAGAAGAACAATCCATTTTTAAGTGTGGTCATGGCATTCTGACTGTGCGTGTGGTTTTGAAAGGAAATATTTATGAATGGAATGATGTCATGTCTGGAGTTTACTTTCAAATAATATGGAAAGGGGAGTGTGGGGAAGAGATGAAGGGGAGGGACCTGAAGGGACACCTGTCTAAGTGGGTGGGAGACACAGGCTCTTTGTGTCCGGTGCTTCCTTTTGTGTGGGTCCGGAGCCAGCGGTCAAACACAGCCAATGTCCTTGCTCCGTGAGACCCCGAAGGACAAGGTGCGGGTTCCGTGGAATAGAAGGTTCCCATCGGGTGGGAAGAAAGGAACAGAAAGAAAGTAAGGTAGGAGCTGGGGGCATGGTGAGGCTGCAGTCCCAGCACTCTGGAGGCTGAGGCAGGAGAATGGCAAGTTCAAGCCCAGCCTGGGCTTGGCGGGCCCAAGCTCTGACTTGGCGACACCCTGCCTCAAAATACAAAGAGCTGCCCCTCTTCTGAGCCGCACACCTGCCTCCACCACTGACAACACGGTGTTTCAGAAGACTTCTACTGTTCTAAGAATATTTTTTCTAAAAATGAACAAATACAAATGAAAATAAAGAGAGCTGCGGATGCAGCTCAGTGCCAAGCGCTGGGTTCACTCCCCGGTACCAGAAGGAAAGAGTGCGGCAGAGGGAGGAGGGTGGCGCCGCGGGGGAGGGGAGGGCGCTGAGACCTTGTAGTGCTCGGGCAGGACCATGAAGACTAGCTCGAAGGCGCTGCCCCTCTTGAAGGGCATGCTCTTCTTCCGCTCCTCCTGGCCCCACCGGCCGCCTTGCTGTGAGTTGAAGACCACCTTGTCCCAGCCGTCAAAGCGGGGATTGAAGTGGAACGCGATGTCTGACCCCGGGGAGCTTCCCACCACGAAGTTCACAAAGAACCTGGGAAGACATCGAGGCCCGACTCCCTGACACACCTGGCAGCATGCAGGGCCTCCTCCAGGAAGCTGTCCTCGCCCTGTCCCCACCCTCTCTGTCGCGGCCTTGGACCTGACCAGCCTTGGTGACCCAGGCGAGGAGGGAAGTCACGGCTGCGTGGCGGGAGGCAGAGCCCCACAGCCACTCTTTTGCTCACAGTTTCCCCTTTTCAAAAAAAAAAAATTATTTTTTGAGACAGGGTTGCAATATGTAGTCCCTGCTGGCCTTGAACTCACTATGTAGCCCAAGCTGTCCTCAAACTCGAGGCGACCCTCCTGCCTCAGCAAGTCCGGGGATCACAGGTGTGCGCAGCCACACCCAGCTTGATAGCTTCTCTTCAAGACCCCTCCCCACTTCCCCCAGCTTCAAGTGACAACTGCCGTTCGTTGCCTTGGCATTATGTAGCACTTATTTACCATGGATCAGGCCCTGCCCTACACACTTGACATCTGTTGGCTGGGATCTCCCTGCTCCTTGCTGGCCCCTGCAGATCATTCCCCACTACAGCTGGAGGGACCCTGTGGACACCCAAACCAGAGCCTGTCCCACACCGCCTGACACAGCAGCCTTTAGGAGGTCAGCATTCAACAGGGCAGGTGTGAGTTTGTCTCAAGGCCTTTGCACTGGCTGTGTCCTCTGCCTGGACTGTCTTCCTCAGCTATCCCTCCTTCCCTCCCAGCCTCCATCAGTTGAGGAGGCAGATCCCCTTTCCTGGTGCCAGGCATGGTGGCACATGCATGTAATTCCATCCCTCAGGAGGCTGAGGCAGGAGGATCACCATGAGTTCGAGGGTTTGAGGTCAGCCTGGGCTACAAAGTGAGCTCAAGGCCAGCCTGAACCGCACAGTTTAAAAAAGAAAAACTCAAAAAAAACCTCGTCTCTTAGTGAGAGTGCAGGAAAAGGAGAGCAGAAGGCCCCAGGGTAGACCAGCAGCTCCCTGATTATCTGGGTGGGCACGGAGGGGCTCACCGATTCATGTTCTCGTGGGCCACTCCTTGGATGTAAACTGACATTCCAACACTGAGGCCGCCTGGGATGGGCCTGTTGTAGGGCAGAGTCTGTGGAGTGGGCCAGGGAGGGGTGTCAGAGCCCTTCACCCTCACCAACCCCCCCCTTCCTTCAAGCGGGGAAGGGGAAACTTGGGGTGAAGGGACAGGGGATGCGGAAGGCTCCCGGAGTCAGATGTGGCCTCAGATGGGCTGAGCATCCAGAGGGGGGTGACTCAAGCCTTGGGGTCAGGAGCAGATAAATCAGAGCCCGGGTGGGGGCCCCCCGGGGATCAGGTTGGGGTGAATCGGTGTACGGGGCCGTCTCTCACCGGGTTGTAGGTGGGCTGGTAGCCCGGCGCAGGGACGTAGGCCATCTGGAGGCTGGGCTGGCGGCTGTCCTGGGAAGGAGCTGCGGGATGGGAATGGAGGCGGGGGACAGGTGGTAGGTGGCCCTTATACTGAGGGGGAGGGGCTGGCAGGGGAGGGGCTGCCAGGTTCCTCTTCTGGGGCTGCCGAGGGCACGCCCTACTGTCCTGTCCCCTACCAGCCTTACACAGGACCCCGCCTCTCCTGTAAGGAGGAAGTGTAGTGGACTTCGGCCTCCCAGGGGCCTTATCAGAGCCCATAAAGCCCTGCCTGACCCGTGTTGGCAGAGGGAGGGTGAGGCCGGGTGTGCAGGCCAGAGCAGGGCTGTAGGAATGCAGGGGACAGGTGGGCAGAGGCAGCAGGGAGGAGCTGTGAAAGACCCTGCTTCACTTCTGTCCTGCACACCCTTACCCCACGCCTTGTGCTATTTGCACAGTGGGCTGGAACACAGGCCGCTGGAGCCAGGGTTCTGCTTCCTGCTTTGCTCATTTCTTGGCTGTCTGATGCTACCTCAGCGCCTGACCCTCAGTTTGCCCACTATTTGTCAAATGGCGATAATAATAGCATCACTCTCATAGTCACTCACAAGGAATCGCTGGTTAATAATGCTCAGAATAGGATGTGGCATACAAAAGGGACTGTTTTTTTTTGTTTTTTTGTTTTTTTTTTTTTGTCTTTTTGAGACAGGATCTTGCTATGCAGTTCAGGCTGGACTTGAGCTCACTTTGTAGCCCAGGCGGGTCTTGACCTCACAGTGATCCTCCTGCCTCAGCCTCCCGAGTGCTGGGATTACAGGCGTGCGCCACCACACCCGGCTTCAAAAGGGACTAAGCTGATGCTTAGTCTCTTGGATTCATTCTAAATGTAAATCCAGAAGGCTAGGATTACATATGGGTAAGAAAGCACAAAGTTTAAAGAAATGCAGTTGCTGGCCATGGTGACACACGCCTGTTATCCCAGCTACTCAGGAGGTCGAGCAGAAGGATTGCAAATTCAAGCTTAGTCTGGGCAATTTAGCCACTTAGCAAGAAAGAGCCTGCCTAAAAATAAAAAAGGCCTGGGGCTGAGCATGGTGGTGCTTGCCTACAGTCCCAGCACTTGGCTGAGGCAGGAGGATCACTTCAAGCTTGAGGTCAGCCTGGGCTACATAGTGAATTTAAGGCCAGCCTGAACTGCAGAGGGAGACCCTGACTTGAAAAAATGAAAAGAAGGCAGCTAAGAGCTTGCCTTAAATTTCAGCAAAGACTCTGGACTTGGACTTCTCAGCAATGCTGAAACTGTTAGGACTTTGGCAACTCTTGGAGATGGACTAAATGCCTTTTGCATAAAGGGATGTGCATGAGTCTTTGGGGAGCCGGGGTGGAATGTTATAGTTTGTGTCTAGATGTGCCCCCTCAAAGCCTCGTACAGTCTGGGTGGGGCTTTTTCAGAGGTGGCTGCATTGAGGGTGTATGACGCTGGAACTTACTTATGGTGCAATGCAAGGCTCAAGGACACTAGGACTAAGGGTGTGAGCGCTACCTGCCCTGAGTAGCCTGAATAAAAGGGACAGAGAAGTGCTGTTAAGGGCCCTTGCTCGCTTGCTTTTGCTGTCTTCCGCTTCCCATGAACTGGTTCTTCTCTGTGATACCCCTCTGCCAAGCCATCCTGCCTTGGAGCCTGTCAATTATGGTCAGAAACCTCTGCAAATGGTGAGCAAAATAAACCTTTCCCTTTAAAAGCAGAGGGAGGGAGGGCTTGGGTCACAGCTCAATGCGAAGGCGCTGAGTTTCATCCCCAGTATGGAAACAACAAACCAAAGTTTAAAGAAAAAAGGCAACCACTAGGTACAGTAGTGCATGCCTGTGATCCCAGCTACCCAGGAGGCTGAGGCAGGAGCACCACTAGTTCGTGGCTAGCCTGAGCTATACAGCAAAACCCTGTCTCAAAATAAAAACACAGAAGCGCTAGGTATGTAACTCAGCACTCCCTAAAATCAACGCTCAGTACTGGGATTGGGTGGGGGGTGGAGACTGGCTTAAGACTGGGTAGCCCCAGACCGACCCCCAGGGTCCAGGTCTCTGTTCCCAACGTCCGTGACTGGGGGACACAGGGCACCTTAGCCCGCCCCACATCCTCTGCCTCCATGCAATAAACACACCAGGCTCTTTCCAACTCTTTATTGTTCGTGAGTAAAGATAAGGCCCTGGGCTTGGAGAAATCAGAGTCATAAACTTATAAACTGGAGACTGTGTGGCAAGGCACGGAGACCATCTCCACCAACCCGCCCTTCCCTCAGATAAGGAAACAGGCGGGAGGCAGTGCAACCCGGACCCTGGCGACCCCGGGCCGGGGCCAGGGCCTGGGAGCCACGAGCTCTCAAAGCTTGGAGAAGGTCACGCTCTTCAAGTCCTTCTTCTCCATTGCCGCCTGGACAGACTTGATGATGTCCTGGGTCTGCAGCATGCTCATGTTCCAGGAAGCCTGGGTAGAAGGCAGGGTAAGGCTAGCAGCACACCAATCAGAACACGAAGAGCGAGCCTGTGCACAACCCCCAGGTGCCGATTGGCCAGTCCACGGTCAGGGCAGGGTTATGATTGGCCGGAGCGAAAGCCTTACCACGTAGTTAAGGCTCTCGGTCACTGGGTGATCGCGGGCATAGAGCAGGTTGACTTTAGTGCTCTGCACCGCCACCGGGCTCTTGCTGGAAATCTCAGTGGCCAGGGCGAACGCGGCATCAAGCATGCGTTCCTTGTCTGGGAACACGCGGCTGTGGGAGGAGGGGTGAGAGGAAAGGGGAACAGTGGGCCTGATTCAGGCTCTCCTCCGCTTGCTGGGGAAGTGGCCTTGCCCAGGAGGAAGGCAGGAGACCCTTGAAGGGGCTGCGTCACAGCAGGAAGCTGAGCCCCCAGGGGACCGCGAGAGCCCCGCCCTGCACGGCTGCCCCTGGGCCCTTCACCCCACACCTGGGCCCCTACCTGACTAGCCCGCTGCTCAGGGCCTCCTCAGCCATCATCTTGCGGGCGGTGAAGGCCAGCTCGTTCACCAGGCTGCAAAAGGGTCGCTGCTGTCACGCAGGGAATGGCGAGGCCCCGCGGCCCGCTCCCAGGCTCCGCCCGCCCACCCACCTCTGGTTTCCGATGACCTTGGGCAGGCGCTGCAGCGTCCCCACATCGGCCGCCAGGCCCATGTCCACTTCCTGGGGGAGAGGTCGCATCAGGGTTTGCTTCCTGCTCAGTACTGCTCCGCAGGCCAGCTCAATGTCTATGGCAGTTCGCGTGTCCCGCAGAGGTCCCACTGCCTCCAGCTTGAGGACCCCCTCCAAACACTCCAATGTTCCCCATCATGAGGGGCTTAACCCCAGGTGGGTTCCTTTAGTCTTTTTTTTTTTGATCAAGACCTCCCCTGGATCGCCCACCCTGTCTTCCTCTGTCACCAAGCCTCATTTCTATTTTTTTTTTTTTTTGGTGCAAGGGATTGAACCCAGGGCCTTCACACTAAACTATAGCCCTGGCCATTTTTTATTCTGATACAGGGTTTCGATACATTATCCAGGCAAAACTTGAACTTGCAATCCTGCCTCAGCCTTCCTCGGTGCTGGGATTACAGGGCAGCAGAATGGTGCCTGACTCTAGCCTCACTCTGTAGGGTTCAATTGTCCCTCTTCAGGAAGCCCTCAGACCTTGCTCCCTTGGCCTGCTCTGTTCCTGCTCTGCCCCAGGTCCGCCACTGACTGCCCAGGACCATGCAGGGCCCCAGGAATGGGAGCCCACCGGGTGACTTACCTTCACCTGGAAGCAAGCATCCTGGGCACAGTACCGGATGTCACAGGCGGTGATGAGGTCCACGCCTGGGACAAAGAGGCCAGTGACACTGAACAGTGAGGCCTGGGAGGAGGGGCAAGAACTAAGCCCTCCTCCCAGGACGTGGGGCTGCATCCTGGGACCAGGTCTAAGCAGCAACAGAGCTGAGAGCGGAGGCCCTGGCGGCGGCGGCGCGTGGCTGCAGACTCACCTGCACCAATACAGTGCCCGTGGATGGTGGCGATCACGGGCTTGGGGCACTGGAAGGGAAAGGGAACGAGGGTCAGGCTGGCCGGAGAGAGGAGGGCACAGGGCGTGCTCGCCAGCCCCCCAGAGCCACCTCTTCGATGACGCTGAAGGTCTTCTGGTAGGTGGTGATGAGGTTACGCAGGTACCAGGCGATGCGGGCCGCGTCGTCTCCTTGGGGCTGCAGGAGGTCCGACGCCAGGTCCACAAGGTCAATACCTGACGGGAGGCGTTAGGGGCCACCGATTTTGTGGCTGCAACTTTAAGACAATCCTGCACCTGACTTTTCTCCCACCAGCCATTCTCTGCACCTCTCATCCTGTCCCTGGCTCCCACCCCACTGCCACAGAGGCAGAAGCAGCCTGTGAACCCTGGGCCAGCGCCGCTCCTCTCCTCTCCCACCCGCCTTAGAATAAAAGGGCAGAGCCTTGCTTAGCGGATGCCAGGCCCGGGGCTCCACCTCAGTGCCGCGGTGTCCTCCCCGGCACGGCTCAAAAACACACGACATGAACGAAGTCCTTGCTGTCACCTGGGCCTGCGCAAGCCTCATGTCTGTCTGTCGTCCTGCTCCTGTGGGCACTCAGGCCTCACACACTCACCTCCCGGGGCCTCTGTGCCTCCTGCTCCCTCTGCCCACAACGGCCCCCCGCCATGTCCCCATGACTGACGTGGCTGCTTCATCCAGGGAGCGGCCTGGTTCATCCAGGGCGGCTGCCCCAGCCGCTCTCCATCTCCCCAGTGACGGTACTGCCCGGCCCGCACACGGCGCTCGCAGTCGGGAGTTCGTCTCACTGAGCACTGGTCTCTCCAGGTGTGAGCTCTGGGAACCCTGGAGCATTTTTTTGTTTTTTTCCCACCACTATCTTCCTTTGCCCTGGAACAGGACCCAGTACACAGTAGGTGCTCATTAGTGGACAATACAGCTGACAATTTCTGTCCCTACGGGGAGACAGACAAATGAGGAGGGAAGCTTATTTTGTCAGGTGGTGGTAAGTGCTCAAGAAAAATAAATGGAAGTACCAGGGACGCCCTGTGCAGGACTGCTGCAATGACTCCCTCACTGACAAGGCGACGTCTGAGGACAGACCTGGAGAGGGAGGGTGCCACGGGCACGTGTCACAGTTGCAGGGATCAGGAACAGCGGCGCAAAGGCCCTGGAGGCCCGTGGGCTGCAGCGGGTGTGAGGGAGTGGGAGAAGCCCAGATCAGAGAGGTCAAGGGGCAGAGTGCTGCGGGGGACTTGGCCAGAGTGTGGGGTGAAGCTGAGCAGTCACCCTTCACTCTTCCACCTGAGCAGAACCTTCTTATCCTTTCAATGGTCACTACACAGCGTCACTGGACAAACGTGAGGAGCGGTGTTCGCCACGCCCCTAAAGGCTGCGGCTTTGCGGGGTTTTTTTGGTTTTTTGTTTTGTTTTTTTTTTTCGGGTACTGGGAATCGAACTCACGACCTTGCACTTGCCAGGCAGGTGCTGTGCTGCTGAGCTAAATCCCCAGCCCCTGGCTTTGCAGTTTAAACATAAGCTGGAAGGAGCCGGGGCTTGGGAAAGCAGCCCTGGGAAAGCGCGTGGGTTATGGATGCAGGAGGCAGGACACCTTGTGCTAGCTGGCTGGGTCGCTTCACCTAGGGCCCAGGTGGCTTCTCTGAAATTCCCATGAGCCCTACCGGAAGCAGACAGGGCCACAGGGGTGCATGGAGGTGCAGCCCCAGAGGCACTGAGCGGGCCTGGCATGCTACGGGCAAAGTCACCACTACCGTGCTCTCCATTTCAGCAGAGGTTATGAGCGGGGTCAGCCCGAAGGTGGCTCTTGGCTTCCACACCATGTCTAATAGCCCCTCATGACTCAGCAGCTATGCTGAGTCCCAGAATAAGCTTAGCATGGCATCCTGTGACACCTCCTATCACTGGCTTTTCTGGTTTGCCTGCCCTTCTTGGACCTGCAGACACTGGCAACTGCAAGGAAATAAAGGGCACCAGGCCATGGGACACTTGGCAACTGTGATCATTAAAAAAAATGAAGTTTCAGCTGGGCAGGGTAGTGCACTCCTGTAATCCCAGCAATTGGAAGGCTGAGGCAGGAAGCTCACCACAAATTTGAGGCCAGCCTGGGTTACATAGTGAGTTCAAAGGCAGTCTGAACTACACAGTGAGACTCTGTCTTAAAAAAAAAAAGTTTCAGGTGGGCATGGTGGTACATGCTTATAATGCCAGAACTCTGGGAGGCTGAAGCAGGAAGACTTCAAGTTTGAGGCCAGCCTGGACATTGCAAGAACTTATCTCAAGATCAGGGCGTGCTGGTAGCTGGAGATGTAGCTCAGTGCAAAGGCCTGGGTTCAAGCCCTGGGACTGGGTCGGGGGAGCAGTATTTCCACTCTATCACTGGGTCACTGTGACCCTGACTTTCTTCCTTCTGCTCTCCAGGTTTTGCTGAAGAAAAGATGCAATGGCTGCAATCAACTGGACACTGTAAGATCAGGGCCCTGGCCTGGCATGGCGCAAGTGAAGCCTCATCCTTTCTCAGGCATAAGCTTCACAAAGGTGAGGGGGTCAGAAGCAGGGGCAGCTCTGGCACCACACTGACCCCCTTCAACGTGTGCCAAATGAGTAAATAAATGAAAGGAGAAATGGGGTAACGAGAGAAGATGGAACGTGAAAAAAACAGAAGAGACCAGATTGTTTACCAGGTGTCTTCCCCACTGACTTGGGGACTCCAGGGGGTCCAGGGCTGTGTTAATCACCTCTGGGTGCCTAGCACCGGACTGGGCCCACTGAAGAAATCAGCACACGTGACATTTCGCTTCTGCTATGCCCGAAAGGATTAGCCTCTCATAATGGCATGCTGCGTATATACTCTGGCTGGACCAGACGGCTACCGGAAGCCACACAAGAGCCTGAAAGGAGTCAGCATTTCTAAAAAGTGGCGGGTACATACTGAGCCACCTGTTTTAAAGCTTTTAGTCTGAAGGCAGGCTGAGGTTGTGCTTTAAAGAGCCACAGGTCACGCTGGGCATGGTGGTGCATGCCTATAATCCCAGCACTTGGGAGACTAAGGCAGGAGGAGGATCACTGTGAGTTTGAGGCCAGTCTGAACTACATAGCAAGGCCCTGTCTCAAAAAAAAAAAAAAAAAAAAAAGCAGCCACAGGACAGAGTCTTGGGTAAACACTGCTGCTAAAATGTGAAAGAGTAAATTCCAGAAATGCAAGAGCCAGAAAAGGGAGCCCCAAATCCTATGAACAAACTCTACTGAAATCTCTTGCTGCCTCATGAAACCATACATGCAGCCCAGCACAAGATTTAAAAGCAAATTCCAACTAAGCACTAAAGCAGGAAATTCAACACCCTCTGGAGTTACAAAATTTGGAGTGTACACATCTTATTCTTCTATCCTAATATTTAAGATGCAATTCAAAGTTACTCAAAATACATAGCTGGGCGTGGTGGCGCACGCCTGTAATCTCAGCACTCAGGAGGCTGAGGCAGGGGGATCGTTGCGAGTTTGAGACCAGCCTAGGCTACAAAGTGAGCTCAAGGCCAGCCTGAGCTGCACAGTGAGACCCTGTCTCAAAAAGACAAAAACAAAAACAAAAACAAAACCCTCTCATTAAGAAGCAGTTTTTCTACTGCCAGGAAGAGGGGACACTGGTGAGGAGTACCTGAAGTGAACGTTTTCCCTGCACCGGAGAGCACCACAGCCCGGCAGTCGGAGTCTTGCGCTATCTTGTTGAAGCATTCCACCATCTCCCTGCAGAGAAGCAGAGTGAAGGGCTATACCCGGGGTGCAAACTGTCTGCCCTTATGTCCATCTGTTCCCCAAGCCCACTCTGGGCCTGTCCCCCACCCTGTCTCCTCCATCAGGTAGGACTCCAGAATCTACAGGCCAGACCTCCAGAAGGCCTTGTTCATGGCATTCCTCTTCTCAGGCCGATTTAGCTGCACATGGAGAACATGTTTCCCGGCACATGTCACCTGAAGGGACTCATAGCTGTGGCCTGGGGCTTCGGAGGCAGCTGCTCTGGAGGTCTCATCTTGTGCAGTGGAGCTCATGGCACAGAAGCCCAGGTTGAAGCGCAGCTGGGTGGGGGCTATCAGTCCTGAGGAGAAACGACAGAAGAGCCCTCGATGATGTCGTAATAGGGTCACGGTAGCTTCAAGAGCGGAGGACACACACCTCACTGACTCCAGACTGGAGAAAACAAATTCCTTAGAGACTTGGGGTAGGGGGCTATGGGCTGGGGTGCATTTATTAGTGTTCAGTCTGAGACTACTTCAGTCCCTTAATTGTGGTACCGACCCACATCTGGAGACACTGAACTGTCAGCGACCCCCAGATTTCAAGTCACAGGCCTACAGAATTAGCCCTTCGTGGACACCTGAATTTACAAGGCTTGGACCTTCGTGAACCCCATAGGTCTCCTCTCCTACGGCCACAACAACGAAGCCCCCGACAGATCAAGAGGTAACTTACGCCGCAACAGCAGGTTCCGCACTTTACAAGAAGCCGACATCACCTCCGACTTCCTGAGAGGCTCGGCGTAACACAAGAGGAAGACGGGGGAGGAGGCGGGCACAAAAACCCGCCATGTTGGGCGAGGGCATCGAATCCGAAGCTTAGATAGCAATGACGCCCTGTCTCGCGCCATCTTTACTAAGGGCAACCGGAAATAGTCTCTTCCAAGCTCGCTGGCAAACTTACAGGACGTTCGGGAAGAAAACCCTTTGCCCCAGTGGGAACATGGCCTAAACTATTAAGTCACACTGCAGCTGGAGATTTCTGTATAAAGTTCAATCATTAGCGCTCTTTTGTAAACGGTGGACAAATTGGAGACAGCTTAAATGTCCAAAGACATAATGGCAGCAGAGCAACTGCAGCCCTTCAAGTTTATAATCATGCATGAATGTGAACTAAAAATAGTTGATATCCAGTACTGTGAGTTTACCCACACAAGGGAGTGACGAGCGCAGGCAGGCCTGTATTAAACACCGTCTCTGACTTCCCGTGCTATCAGGTGTTTATACCATTTTTCACTGTACTCAGAGGGCACAGGCTCACTGAGGGAAAGCCACTTGTTCAAGGTCACTGGACTTCTGGACTGTAGAAGCCTGACTACATGCCACATTGCTCCTAAGTCTATGTTTTATCTTTTTTTCTGGTACCGGGAATCAAACTCAGGACCTTGCCCTTGTCGCTGAGCTATATCACCAGCCCCTTATCTTTTTTTCTTTTGTGCACATGCCACACATTTTCATGCTTTTTGTTTTCTTTTTTGAGACAGTGTTTCACTACACAGTTCAGGCTGGCCTTGAACTCACTTTGTAGTCCAGGCAGGCCTCAAACTCTCAGTGATCATCCTGCCTCAGCCTCCCCAGTGCTAGGATTACACACATGTGCCACCATGCCCAGCCACGCTTTTTAAATTTGACTTTTTGTAAATCCATGTTTTTCCTGATACTGAGGATGAACCTAGGGCACCCCTATCACCCTCCTCCTCCACACACGCATGCAGATGACAAGTGCTCTGGTACTCTGGTATGGGGCTACATTCCCAGCAATCAGCCCTCTTTTCTGCGACAGGTTTTTGCTAAATTGCCCAGGCTGGGCTCAAATTTGTGATCTTCCACCATTTTGCCTCCCAAGTGGCTGAGATTACAGGCATGCACCCCCTGGGCTTGGCTAGAAGTCCATGTTCTCAAACAAATAAAATCCCTTGGAAAAAAGGGTTACCCAAGAGCATAACAAATACTGCTTAAGTAGGCTCCTTAGGGAGATGTTCACCAAGGCTTTGAACAGATGTCTCTGGGCTGGAAGGAGTGTAGGGAAACTTTCCTGTTAATGTAGCTGCTATCCGGTTCTGCAGGCTAAACAGGAAGCTTTTAAAGGCACCAGCAGGGCTGGATACATAGCTCAATGGCATAAGCGCCTGCCTGGCAAGCACAAGGTTGTGAGTTTGACCCCCGGTACTGCAAAAAGTAAAAAAAAAGCATCAGCAACTATCCATCCATAGAAGACTGCTGCATGATCCATGCAATGCAAAACGGAAGGTATCAAGATGTGTGGCAAGTTGTAACAGTTAGTGTAATCCTTTGGTGTTAAGAGCACTATCAGAAGTTAGGAGGCAGAGGGGCTGGGGATTTAGCTCAGCGGCAAAAGCGCCTGCCTGGCAAGCGCAAGGTCGTGAGTTCGGTTCCCGGTGCCGGAGAAAAACCAAAAAAAAAAAAAAGAAGTTAGGAGGCAGACTGGTAAAATTCACTTTTATCCCCATCTCTTTGGTTTTAAAATAACAAATTGACTTACAAGTAAAACCTTCCCTGGCAAAGCAGCTTGCTCATTTGAAGGACACCACGCGACCTCAGTAATGTTTATAATGTAGATTCTCAGATGACATGTCTGTGACCTCTTCCCCTGTGGGCCACCTCATCCCTCCAAGACATCAAAGTCCTTAACTTGGGCTCCTCCCAGGCTCTGCCCCACTCACTATAGCCATGTTCATAGGGTCACATCAGGTGGCAGGCATCCATCTTATGCTGCAATTATTTCTACCTTTCAACTCAGGGGTTCCATTGAGACTGACTAAACTATTTGCATAAATAATGAACATTGCAGAAATGTCTGCAGGAGCAAGACCTGGAAATTATTTTCAGAACCAGGCTACGTACATGCCGACATACTCACACAATGACGTTGCAGTGGTGAAGATAGGGACAGCATTCTACATGACACAGAACGCTGTACAGCACAAAGGGATCTTTAGAAAAACAATTTCCTTATGGAAAAAAAATCACAAAAAAATTAACCATGATTAAAGGGGCTCAGTGGGGACTTTCATCTTAATTGCAGCATAAGGTAGATAACCCATTTTTTTTTTTTTTTTCAGTACCAGGGATCAAACTCATGACCTTGCACCTGCCAGGCAGGCACTTACGCCACTGAGCTATATCCCAGCCCCTAATCCAACAGTTTTAATGTGGGATTTTGCAATGTTGTCCAGGCCAGCCTCAAACTCTCTGGGCTCAAGGTTTTCTCCTGCCTCAGCCTCCTGAGCAGTTTGGGTTACAGGTTACAGGGTTACCATACTGGCCCTACTATCACTTTTATCACTTATTTTTTAAATGACTCTCCGACTAGAATGAGCTTGCTTGCGCAAGGCCCTCTAAGAATGCCACCAGGCCTGTAGCATCTTCCTGAAAAGGCCTCAATCCTTAGTATCATTCCATCTGCAAGCCGGCGTGGTCCTCTCAGGGCAGTGCCCTGACCTGCCTGCACCTCTTCACAAGTCTGAGTGGAAGACAGAGAAGGAGACACACCTTGGAATCCCAGCAAGTGCTAGGTTTATTTTCCAAACAATTTTATTGAAATGTGCCAAGAATACATGGGCAGCACAAATGTATGAACAGGGGAAAAAAAAAATCACATGTACAATAATTTTTTAAAAAGTGAAGGTTAATCTTGGGAGCTATCAGTTCCCCTCTCCCACCCCCTTCAGACTTCCAGCATTTCCATTATGGTTAAGCCTCTACTAACTAGCATTAAAAAAAAAAAGGAATACAAGAACATTTTCTGGAAAAAGAAAAAACAACAAAAAAACCCAATGGCAAAACGAAAGAGAACCGTTTTCCTGCTTAGATGTCTCTTCCTGGACCCCTGCATTAGGAGGCATGCTGAGCAGTGGAGAAGCACAACTTCAGAGTGTAAGGGTAGGGGCCATCTATAAAGGAAAAGAGAGAAGTAAGGTTGGAGCCTTCTATGGAGGCTTCCCCACCCAGATCCTCTCATTTTGCACCCATTTCCCACTTTCTGTAGTTCACCTGCCAGGGTCTAACTTGTCACTGTGGAACCTGAAACTTTATGAACCTGCACACTAGGCACGCCCCACTCCTCTTCCTCACGCCCTTGAGACAATTCTGATCTCCTTAGCTACCTAGGGCAACAGGCCTGGCTGAGCAAGTGGGTGCACAACTTTCACTTCAGCTGGTGGGGCCCCCTTTCTGGGTACTGCCTGAAGCAGTCTCTTGACACAAGAATACCAGCTCTTTGAAGACAAGCCTGAGCAACTCTCAAGTTGGCATTAAGCAACTCCCAAGTGCGTAGCAGCAAGCAGCTAGGCTGGCCCTCCAGGGAGGAACATTACCAGGCTGCTCTCCCGGCGACCAGCTCCCACCCACCTGTGTCAGGGATGGGAGGAAATCTCTTGGGCCCTACTTCAAGGGCAGGAAGGGCTCTGGACTGATGCCAGCCAATCCACTGGGCCACCAGGGGAAAGACTGTAGGACACACAGATACTCACTTGGGTTTTTCATCTGGTAATGGTTTAGGAAGCCCAAGGTCTCCAGGGCATCGCTCTTAGATTCCCACTCCAGCAGCCCAGAGGAGCTGCGCTCACCTGATGAGAAAGCAAGAGGGAAAGCACAGGTTGCAGGCAGCCCTGGCAGCTGGCCACAGAGAACCAAGGGAACAAGAGGAAGGCAGGACACTGACTCACTTTTGCCTGAGAATACTTTCACAGAAGTTGGTCGCTTCACTCCCAGCTCATCACAAATCTGCAACAGTAAGACAGTGAATCATGAGAAACCACTTTGAAGGTATCAATATGTAATACAACAAGCACTGTTAATTTCCTACCACTTTGTTTGTAACTCTGTATTGTCTGTACTGTTCTTCTGCTATTTTGTAAAAGGTTGTCTGTTAATGTTTTCCTTTTATTTTAAAAGTAAAAATAAATAAATAAATAAAATGGTATTTAATATATCCACAGGGGGTGGCAGAGGGATTGATCGGTTCCAGGATACAAGAATTCAGGGATGCTCAAGTGTATCATATGCAATGGTGTAGGAACTGGATAGAAACTACACAACCTTATGTTTTAAATAATCTCTGGATTATTTTTACCTACTAACAATGTAAATGTTATATATAGTTGTTACACTGTGTTTAGGGAACAATGACAAGTATAGAATAACAAGAAAAAAACCTGCACGTGTTTAACACAGATATAATTTTAGAAATATTTTTGATCTGTTGCTTGACTCCACGGACATGGAACTCATGGATATGGAAGGCTATTTACACTACTATGCTTACTATGAGTCACTGCCTAGCAGAGTCGTAGAACAATATGGTTCCTTATTAGTACTCATCTACCTCATTCCTGGAATGCATTTGCCTTGATTTTCATCTTTTGGAAAGTTAACTATTTGCATAAGTTCAAGGGAAATAAATTGAGAATCCAAAAAAAAGGAAAAAAAAGAGTGAAGGAATTTATAGAAACAAGGATTGCACAGGGAGCACTCCAGTAAACCAGGCCTTGGGACTAAATGCCAGAAATTTTCTGGAGAAAAGGAATAGGGACTGGGGATGGGGGAATAGGGAACAGAAATACTTCCCCAAAAAACAGAAGGGGTCCTGAATGAGCTGTCCCACACACTCTTTAAGGTGTTCTTGTGACACAAAAGCGTAGAAACACCAAGGACTAGAACGCTTTTTTAAACTTCCCATGCTCAGCAGCACTGTGGGTGTGCCTGACATTAGACAAATGTTTGCTCAACTGAAGCCAACACCCAAGGCCACAACAAGTCCAAAGTCTGACTTGGCCTCCTCTCCTGCCAGCCACCTTACATCTCACCCAGCTTACCGGGGCTCCACCTTCCAAAGTAACCAAAGCATCCAGAGCCACCGACAACGTGG